CCTGAAATCGTAACAGCGTATGTGGGCGACACTGAAATGTTAATCCTTTCTCAGAACATTAGCCGAAGTGGTGAAAGATACCAATGGCTTTATTCTACACGCTCACGTAGATTTGATGCTTAGGAAGTGGGCCAGACACAGCGGAGGCAGATCCTACACAGTGCACTCCACTTAACAGCATGGGCTTTTGTCAGTCTCAAGGCTATGCACTTACCCAAACTCATTGTAACACCTGAGCTATGTTTCTTGCACCTCATTAAAGCTCCCTTACCTATTTTCTTGGACTACCTGATGCATCTAATAGCTGCCATGAAACTCATGGGACTGAATCAGGTCCCAGTTGATTTAGAAGTCTTGATATTTGTCTCGGACAGCCAGGGCCGACTCGAGTTACGCTCGTACGTCAGGGCGGGCTGGTGAATGGAGAGGCAGACACAACTTATTGGTTGCAAAAACTTTACTCACGCCGCTTGCAATCACGACGCAGGTGGTCCAGTCGTCGGAACAACCACACGAGTTGCTCCAGCGGGGGGGCCCAAAGCCAGTCAATCCGTCCGCAATTCGAAGCCGGCGGGGAAAGGGGTACGTCGGGGTTGCGCTCGGTGACGGGAAGAAAGATCGGTAGGTGATCAGTCTATCGATCGGCAGCCGCAAGTCAGGTAACTTCAGAGACACTCTGCAGCGTGCTCAAAGCTCTTCGACTTGGGCAGAAGTCGCGCGGAATTTTAAACGGCCAGCGAGCCAATTACTAGCCGCCACGTGTGAATAATTTAGCACTGGCCAATAGCGGGGCGCTAATTTGCGTCCGAATAGCAGGAACTCTTTGCACCGTGCATTTCTGTGCTGCAAAGAAGAAATGCATCCTGCAAAGGAAACTGCAAATTGGCGGGAACTCTCTCCTATACGTGGGTGCTCAATTGCAGCAGAACACTCTGCCGTGCAAAGGAGCTCTCACGTGGCCAGGAAATTCCATAGTGCTGAGGCACAAAAATCACTGGGTTGTGACAATATTGAGTTTCCTACTCAGTTTAATCTAATATACAGTTAAATATGGGCTACAAAATAGACAGTGGGGCAAAGAGTTATTGGGCATTTGCTACAATGCAAGCAACAACAACCTAAATATTGATATTGTATCATGCAACTATCCAGTATGCACAGAAGTACTGGATCATTATATTTCTAATGCACCTTTAAATCTGACCCGCATCCAACTCTTATTGCTTGATCCTATGAAGCCTACTGCTAGGTGATTGCTAGGGTTTTCAGGAGCAGGTGCTCTTAAACCTGAAGTGATTTCATGTGTGAACAAATGGTAACATAGGAGATGGAATGAAACTAAGTTTTGTTATATCTGTTATATCTTATATCTATAACCAAAGATTTGGTTTTAAAACAAATACCAATTGTAACCTGTGCCCTGCCTCCTCCTTCCTCCCCCCGGCCCTTTGCTAATATATAATTAGGCAATATTAGCAGGAGATATGTTGATTACAATTAGTAATGGATAGGGACTGGTAGGTGAAAACAGCAATTAGGAGTCAGATCTGAGATATACTTTAGTAAAAACACATTGAGATGTTCAATCCATTCTCTGAAAATAACATTAGCAAGAAGTCCTGATAGGAAGCTTATATGACCTTGCAGTTACTCTTACATAGCTTCATGTTGCCCATTCTGCTCCTATGTTGCATGCCTTTCTCAATTTCTACTTTCCTCCTGCTTCTAACTCCAGTAAGGCTCTTGAGGCAAGGAATCTGCTTTCGTGTCTGTACAGAGGATGGTGATTATATCATACAAATACTAACAACGTGTTTCAAGGAAGGATGTATTTGTTGGATGCAAGGTTCGATAAGGAGTAAGTTGGAGAGAAGAGGGGCCAAAATTGGAATGGCGTGTCAAAGGGGCTGAATTAGACCAGGAAAGTTATTTTAATGAACTACTCTCTTCCACAAAGTGGGATACATGTAGTAAGGCTTTGGCATATGAATGTATGCGGCCACATATGGGCCTCTGAGTTCTGTTACACAGCATTTATGGAAAAGAGAATTGCATGAACTCATTACTGCATTAGAGGACAGACGGCAAACAGACAGACTCAGTGCCTTCTCAATGACAAGCGTTAGTATCAGAAACAATTCTTAACACTGGAATTTTTGCTGCGGAAAAAAACCTGACTTCGCAACATTTGGAAAACATTCAAAGTGTCATGGCTCCTTGTTTTTTCATACGTGATGGGTCAGTTTCTCCTGTCATCTACTTACTATCAGTGCCCTCCCTCGTCTTTGTTCTTTTAAAGTCTTGTCACCCACGTGGCAGTGGGCATCCAAGGGCATTAGCTTCCTCTCTGAGAGTAATTGATATGTTGCAATGTAGATCATAGATAGTAGGCCTGGGAAAAAAAGTCTAGGGCTGAGGACCACGTGGAAAGCAAGAGCGCAGGAGTGTGTCCAGGCTTGTCAACAGTTTATTCACACCTATTTTCCAAAGAACTGTAACACTGCGGTACAACCCTGTTTGGTAGTAATAGGAAGCTTAAAATGATGCGAGTCAACTTCTGCAAAACAGCTGAGGAGGAGCATTTATATGAAATAGTACCGAACAGCAAGGAACAAAGAAACTTGCTCATGCTTTCCAAAGAACAGAGGCAAATAGCTTCTCTAACATAAACAGCTATCTGAGAACATGTAGGAGTTTTATCCCCCTACCCTCGATGACATTGTCACTATGGGAAATGCGGTGTGTTTGGTCATTAAGCCTCAAATGTTAGAGCTACATGCTGTTACTTATTATATAACATCTCAGAAAGAAACATTTAACATTGCTCATTAGAGATAAGCTGATTTGATGAAACTCAAGCTCTATTGGAGCCTAAGGGGAGCTCTATCATGGATTTCAGTGGAATGAGGGTTTCGCACAAAGCGTCTCTCATGAAACAAATCCAAGAAGAAAAATGGTTTATTTTTGTTCGGATTACTAAAGTTCTCCGTGTGCCATCTGAGTTCAGGGCAGTCACCTTCCCAGCTTGGAACTGATTTCTCTTTCATTTTTGGAATTGATCCTTTTTTTTTTTAGGCACAAACAACCCTCCCCCCACAAAAAAGCAACAACCCCCAAACAAACCCCTAAACCCCAACCCCTCCTTCTTATGGCCCGTTCCCACTTCTTTACCCTGGATGTTTCTTAGTATTTCCCTCTTTATGCAAAGAGGAAATGCTTGCATATAGTTCACTGATTTATTGTGGCATTTTCTTCAAGCTTAACCTGATCTTTAGATCATCCAAATCATGCCAAGTGAGGACACTTTGACCACCAGCTCCATAATACGGCTGATTTGGGAAATCTCCATCAACACATCCGCCATGCAAGGGAACTAGGTGGCCTACTAAAAATAGACAAGTTAACTGTGCCTTTTCTTTCCTAGCGCATGAACGGGTGTTGCATACATTTTCAGGGGAAATGCAGAGGGATCTATCTGGCCTTGAAGAACCCAAACCTCTTCGCTTCAGCATCCGAAATGCAAGATCCGTCACGTAACCTCTTCACCAAGGCGTACGGGAGGCAAACGACAAGGACTGAACACCCCTTTTATTTGAGAACATGCAAGAGCGGGAGGGAAACAAAACCGACCCCCCCCCCCACAAGACCCCTTTCCACTGGAGCATTTTCTGTCATGCATCTTTCAAGCGCTTCCAGTCTGAACCGGATTTCCGCTTTGCTGGGGCCAGCTCCGTGCAGTGTCCCAATGCAGGCTTTACCTTCAAAAGCTGGTCAGACTTCACCCCAAACCCTGCAGCTGGTCAATGAAAGATATCACCTCCCCCCCCCAAAAGCCCTCAAACGCAGAAAAATCCAAAACCCCAAAACAAAACCCACCCCCAACCCCAAAACAAAAAACCCAACCCCAAAAAACAAACAAACAAACAAAAATCCCCCCCCAAAAACCCAAAAAATAAAAAGACCCCAACCCCCCAAAAAACCCTCTAAAAGCCCCAAACCCTGGCCCGCTTCCTAAGCATCAGACCAGGGCAGGGAGCAGCAGGGCGCACACGTGCAGGTTCCAGCACACATCACGCATGCGCCCCTCTGAACGCGGAAGCGGAAGTCAGCTGAGCCAAAAGCGGAAGTAGGTTGAAGAGGGCAGGGCCAAGCGTCACCTTTCCTGTCGGAAAAGTGACGCCCCTCCCCCTACCTTGGCGGAAGTGAGCGCGGGTTGGACCCCGCGCCCCCTCGTCTCCTTCCGGTTTCCGGGAGGAGACACCGGGCCCGGCCCCGCCTTCCTGGGCAGCCATCTTGGATG